ACGTGGAGGCAGATTTCAGGTGAAGCTTGTTTCAGGGCTCTTTGCTTGAACAGGTGTCTCTACACTGCTACCAATCCCCGCCCCAGGCCTTGGGAGAAGTCTTAGCAATGTGCTCACAGGGATATGTGCTTCTGTAATATTTGAAAAAGTAGGTTCCTTTATCCACAACCATTTAAGACAACTGTGCCTTTTCACTCCAGATTTCCTCCCTTCACACTTCCCCTTGGGTTGTATGGCTTTGGAGTGGCTTGCAGATAATTCTTTCCATCATCCAAGTGATAGAATTCAAGCAAGTGTTTCTCTTCTATCAGGGATATCCTTGGTAAAGTGGCACATACAATTATAAACTCACCTGGGACTTACCTGAAACACAATAAGAATTCCTGTGTCTGTAGGTTAAAACTTTGTAACAGCACTACCAACAGCAGGTATGTTTGGTGGTAAACCATGTATTTTATGCCTGTCAATGTATCAGATTGGATCTTAGCACATTACCAACAACAATCTGGGGCTGAAAGAAACTTCTCTAAACTATCAGTAATAAAAACGCAAAGTTCAAACAGGCATGCTAGAGGAAAGACTTCAATATCTTTCTATTCTTTCTATAGAAAACAATGTTATAAAATAGTTGTCTTATGAAGAAGTTCTTAAGGAATATGCATCCAAAGACTATGGAAAATAGTATTGTAGGGGTGCCTGGATGGCTTAGTCGGTTAGCATCGACTCTTGATTTTGGCTCAGGTCATAATCTCGGGGTCTTGGGATTGAGCCCCGAGTCAGGCTCCATGCTCAGCGGGGAGTCTACTTGAGGGTCTTTCCCTCTGCCTCTCCCCCCACTCACACATGCTCTCTCTCTCTCAAATAAATAAATCTTAAAAAAAAAAGAAAAAGAAGAATAGTGTTGTAGAGGTATGTCAGGCAGTTAATAAGCAACTTAAAATTTTTTTTTAATATTCGCGATCAGATTCATAACATTTCTCATTGTGGTGATTTCTCATTTTAAATAAATATTTACCTTTGTACTAAGTTTTGTAATGAAAATTTAAATTATTTTGCTTGGAAAGGGCCCTCAAATTGTTTAAATTTCAGGCCTCATAAAGCATGAATCCTCACCTAATTATAATTTATTGGTCTTTCGATGTTTGCCAATAAGATAAGCGAAAATTGTATCTTTTTGCTTTCATTGACATTTCATAGATCTCTAGTGAAATTGAATATTTTTTTTTTACATATATACTGGACGTGTATTTCTTCTTCTTTGAATTGACTATCTACATTCTTTTGTCCATTAAAAAAAAATTTTTTTTTTAAGTAAGCTCTAGGGGTGCCTGGGTGGGTCAGTCTGCTGTGCCTCTGACTCTTGATTTTGGCTCAGGTCATGATCTCAGTGTCCTGAGATTGAGCCCCACCTCCGGCTCTGTGCTGGGCATGGAGCCTGCTTAAGATTATTTCTCTCCCTCCCCTCCCCACCACCCCGCTGGCTCGATCTTTAAAAAAGAAAAAAAAAGTAAGCTCTATGTAAGACTTGAACTCATGACCCCCGGGATGTAGGACTTGAACTCATGACCCCCGGGATCAAGAGTTGCACACTCCACCAACTGAGCCAGCTAGGCACCCCTCTTTTGTCCATTTTTTTTTTTCCTTTGGAGTACCTTGACTGGGATCTTTTGTCCATTTTTTGGTAGTTTATTAATTTGTAGGGGCTGTGTTTAGGGATGTTAATACTAGCAGGTCATATGTGTTACAGATAATTTTCTTCAGATTATCCTTTGTCTTTTTTTGGTAACAGCTTTATTGAGATCTAATTCATATACCATCTAATTTACCCATTGATTGATTAATATTCTCTTTTCCCAGCTTTACTGAGGTATAATTGACAAAAATTGTATATATTTAAGGGGCGCCTGGGAGGCTCAGTCGGTTGAGTGCCTGACTCTTGGTTTCAGCTTGGGTCATGGTCTCAGGGTTGTGGGATGGAGCCCCGCATTGGGCTCTGCACTCAGCAGGGGGTCGGCTTGGGATTCTCTCCCTCTGCCCCTCCCCTGCCTCTCATGCACCTGCTGTCTCTCTCTAAAATAAATAAATAAATCTAAAAAAATTGTATATATTTAAGGTGTACAGTGTGATATTTTGATATCTGTGTACATTGTGAAATGATTATCACTATCAAGCTAATTCACATATCCATCAATCCACCCATTTAAACTCTACAATTCAGTAGTTCTTTCTATGTCCACAGGGTTGTGCAACCATTTCCAAAATCAATTTTAAAACATTGAATCACCCCCCAAAGCAATCTCATACTCTTTATCTATGGCTCTCCATCACAATGTATCTTTTGACATATGGCATTTTTAGTATCAAATTTTCTTAATTTTCCTGTAGTCAAATATTTCTCTTTTCTTTTACAACTTCTATCCAGTTTCCTGTGTGGCTTAAGGTTTCTACTCTCTCCAAGGTTCTTTAAACATTATGCTAATATTTTATTTTTACATTTATGTCTTACTTCATCTGGAATGTATTCTCAATTTTTCCTCATCACTAATCAGGTAGAATCCCACTTGTTGACTAGATTTTGGGAAGGGATTAGTGTATCCAAGAGAGAGAAGTTTCTTTCAACAGGTTTGGGGGGAAGATAAACACTTGAGGGCCAGGAACAAAGAGCAAGGACGAAGAACACTCCCAAAAGGCAGAGTCTTGATCATCCCATGTGTGGGTGCTAAGGGTAGAGCATGGGTGCTCAGGTGATGCTTTGAGACCTGCCTTGACCACATAACTTTCTCTTTCAAATAAAGGGTTGAAAATGGGGTCCTAACCGCAAGGGTCAGAAAGGAGCCGACCTGCACTTAGCACTGTGTTCCCAGAGACTACGGTATGCGGAGGGGTGGGGTGGGGAGAAGGAGTAACCACAGTGAAGAAAACTGACAAGCACTAGTTGGACCAGGTCATCAAGGTTAACATCATGATGACAAATCATGTTGATAGTGTGTACCTTCGATATGACATGATGAGAATAGCACTTTACTTTTGTGGCCTTCCTGCCCCAAACCCATAATCCCAGTCTAACCATGAGAAAAACAACAGACAAACCCAAATTGAGGGGCATTCTATAAAATGCCTGGTTGATATTTTTCAAAAGCAGCAAGGGCATCATAAATAAAGAAAGTGTGAGAAACTGCCACAGACCAGAAGAGGCTAGGAGACATGACTACACAATGTAATGAGGTATCCTGGTTAAGATTCTGTAACAGAAAACACTAAGGAAAAACTAATACAAGCCAATAAAGTGTACCATTTACTTGGTTAACAGTAACGTGCCAATGCTGCCTCCTTATGACAAATGTACCATAATGTTATTATGTGTTAACAATAGAAGACGCTGGGTGAGGAGTATGTGAAAACTCTCCTACTATCTTTGCAATTGTTCTGTAAATCTAAAATTATTCTCAATTTTTTTAATTAAAAGGGAGGGGGAAACATTTTTGCTAGCCACATCCTTCCTGAGGGAATATATCTAGGCCAAGAAAGCATCCTGCTTTCCCAAAGAGTTGGTGCCCCTCTACCACCTAGTGCTTAATTTGAACAAATTTTGTGGGTGGGTCAGAAATGAATTTTGAAAAGTCATTTCCTTTGTCCAAATTCTCCAGCCAGCTCAGAGAAGCCTTTCAGAATAGCTGATTCTGGCTGCCCTGGGTGCTCACTCCATGCCTCCCATTCCAGCAAGTTTCAATGGGTTGCGATGATATCCCTTATCCCCTCCTGCCCCAGGATGGTGCTCCGGGACCACCAAGAGCCTTATTTTCTCAACCTGTTGTTCCTGGTTTTTGAGCCCTTGTTCCTTTCCTCACCACTGACACTTGCTTTTACCACCCACCCCCTTGCTTTAGTGACCAATTCAGGCCCCTTACACTGGTTTTTCTATCTTGGCTTCTCACTCTACTCAACTCGGCACAGTTTCATGACTTCTGTACTACCTGAAGCTGCAGGGGAGAGATATTCCTCCTACCGTTTTTTTCCTGCCCAACCAGCCTAAGGGCCCCTGGGTCTCAGCTGGAAGGACGGGACACCGTGTAGCTTCTCTTACCCGTGCGATAGAATACCATCAGCAGCGATATTATCAAATATAAAAGGCATCCTGTCTACTCCAGGAAAATTACAGGAGCTGTCCAGATGGCAATAGCTTAAAAAACATTATTCTATTAGTAATTATGCTAATATATCAAATTATGATTGGGTAGATTTTTTTTTTTTTATGAAGGGAGCAGCAGCATGATTTAGTTTCTGGTATCCCCTTAAAGTTTCCTGATCCCCAGACAGCACTGGCCATATACCCATGTATTAACCCTCTAGAGGGTTCTGGGTAGTACTGGTGCTGATGGAGACTGAAATCAGCAGAGCAGACCTTTACCCTCAGACTGTACAGAAACCTCGTGTTCAAAGTGAAGCTACAACTCTGCTCTCATTTCACTGTTAAATTACTTTACTTGTATCATCAATAACCTCCTAAGATACCACTCTGAGGGACTGGATGTGTGGCTTTTCCTAGGAAGAACTTAGGTCTGCTTTGACTTGATGACAAGAAACAGCTGAATGAGTAGATTGGGACAACCTCCCAAGGATACTGACTTGGAGGAGCCAAGATACACCACACGTCCTAGAAATTGGAAGTTGAATGAACCTTCATTCTAGTGTAGCACCATGTGGTTTAAGAAATCTTTCAAAGGACTGGGTTTGATTTTGGAAAAAGTGAGCATGTCAACAAGATAAAACTTCTAAAAGTTTCCATTTATTGCCCTCAACTCAAAGGCTACTATTCCAGCAAACAGAGAGAATCAGACTAATGGGTGGGTGGTGAGAGCAGCTTCCTGAATCTGCCATTTTCTTCATGGGTGGGTAGTGACGGTGGGCTACCTGCCACATTACCAGAGACCCCAAGTAGGAAAAACCAAGCCTCCTGCTCTGCCAATCAGAGAACCTGACATATTAGCATGATCAATTACCTTATCTAGATGGTGGTGTGGGGGAAGCCCTGCCTCTAGCAAGTCACCTCCCCTGGACCAACAGTCTGGGTGCTGAGTGTAATTTCCTGCCTGTGCCCCAGGCACCATCTTGCTACAGTGCCCACAGGTCCTGCAGAAAGATGAAGCCTCCTGCCCGCAGATGCGGACGAGACTGTGGGCCTGCATGTTCCTTTATCACCCGGGTGACAAAGTACAGGAGGGCCTGGGAGGAGCAGGCCTGGCTAGATCTATCACAGTGGTCAAGCCTGGGCCAAGGTTCTGGGAAAAGCTGCTGGAATTCTGAGGCTTTGGGAAGGCTCCGGAGCTCTGCCTTAGGAAGCTGGAAATTCTCTATTCCTCTTCTGTTTTACAGCTTTTCCTGCTTGAGAGAGCAGTGTTTCCTAACCTTTTGTCCTCATCACTGCCCTTAAGGGGGAAAAGTGAAGTAGGTTTCAATTTGCCCAAACACAAAAAATTAAATATTAAAGAATAAAATTTTGTTGGTTAGCTTTGGAGAGCCATAAACCATTGTAATCTCTAAGACTTTTTTGCCCTACTGTGACCCCAAGAACCAATTTTCACCCCTTTCGGGGACAGTATTGCCCCCTTTGCGAAGGCATGCCAGAGAGGGATGGTGCTGCCGCTGTGGACATTGCTGCCCACAAGGGGGGGCTCTCTTCTGAGACCCTCTCTGCCTGCTTGTATTCCCCTTCTTCTGAATCCCTATGGATGAGTTGAGCTGCATGTCACAGGGATCCCAGTTCAACTGCCTGAGACCATAGGGAGGTTTACTTTTTACTGAAGAAGCCTGGAGTCAGGGGCCACGGCTCAGGGATGCCCGAGTAGCGGGGATGTCTCCGCTCACGGCCACAAGATGGCCGTAGCAGCTCCAGGCATGCAGCCCTCACAAGCCTGCGTTCCGAGGGAGGAAGAGAGACAGGGCGACCAGCAGGGAAAGTGGCCGGGGACTGGCAGGTACGTAATAGCTGCTGACACCACTCTCTCTTTTTTTTCCTTCTGCCCTCACTCCCTTACCTTTTACTTAAACGAGTGTTGCCCAAGCCTACATGGGAAGCCCTATGCATCCAAGTGGAAGGAAGCAATTAACAGAACTGGCTGATTGCCCTTGAACAGGTTATTTAATATCTCTGGGCCTCAACTTCCTCATTTATGAAGTGAGGGGCGTAGCCTAGTTGCCTTTTTTTTAAGTAAACTTTGAATAAAGCCTAACACAAAGGCTCACGGATCATAAATGCATTGTGTGAACCCAGCTCCCAGATCAAGAAACGATATTATCAGTACTCCAGAAACCCCCACGAAAGTCGCACTATTCTGACTTCTAGAACTGCACTTTTGTTGTGCCTGTTTTTGAACTTCAGAAAATTGAAGTCATAAAGTAGATACTCTTTCTTTTTTTTTTTTTTAAGTAGGCTCCATGCCCAGCGTGGAGCCCAATGCAGGGCTTGAACTCATGAGCCTGAGATCAAGACCTGAGTTGAGATCAAGAGTTGGACGCTGAATTGATGGAGCCACCCAGGAGCCCCAAGTAGACGCTCTTTTGTATCTGGCTTCTCGCATTCAACATTGTGTTCATGAGGGGCGCCTGGCTGGCTCCGTCGGTGGAGCATGTGACTCTTGATCTCGGGGTCGTGAGTTTGCCCCCCCTACCCCCTGCCTTAGGCATAGGGATGGCTTTTTTAAAAAACTGTGTTTGTGAGATTCATTCACCATGCTGTTCCTCCAGTCATTGCTGTCTAACATTCCCTTGTGTGACTATACCAGTGTTGACAGTTATGTAAACTGTTTTTAGTTTGGGCTATTACAAGTAGCGCTGCTGTAGAGATTCTCAAATCCATCCTTTGATGCATATACACACGCATTTCTGCTGTGTTCTGGGAGTGGAACTACTGGGTCATAGGATGTCTGGATGTTTACCTTCTAGATGCCTTTTAAGGAGCATGCCGGGTGATGAAACCAAACACTATCCTGGAGCACACAGCCAGTAAATAGGTTTCCCTTCCTTTCATGGCCAATGAGACTCAATGCCAGGTTTTCCAGCGCCTGTCAGCCCTCCAGCTCACCCTCTCTAACGGGCAGCCTCCACAAAGCATGCATAACACCCCCACGCCCTCCAGAGCCTGCTTGTGAGGAAAGCCTGGTAGCAGGTACCCCTTGTGAAGGTGGTGAATGACACTGCTATGGCCTGATGAAGTCCAGTTACCCGAAGCTGGCAGGGCCATCCCAAGAACTTTTTTGGGGGGCTCTGAAAAATACCCACTCCATGGTGAGGCATTTCACTGGCAGAGCTATGAAATGAATCTGTCAACAGATAGTTTCGTTCATCTATGCTCTTCTCCCAAATTTTAAGCACCTGGTAGAAGCTCCATAAAAAGAACCATAAAAGTTTAGGGTAGAAGGTCACTATAATAGAATTTTGTAAGAGAATTTTGTCTTTTAAGAAACTTTTCAGCAAACAAGAAATTTCTCCAAAGTAAGCACTTAAAAGTGCTGTTTACCAAAGGTGGTTTGGAATGTCATCTTAGGTTTAGAGAAACGGGTGGAGCTCAGAGAGTGTTTCTCAGAGTATAGTTTATAGATCAGTATCAGCGTCACCTCGGGGCGGGGAGTGGCGGGTGGGGGGGGTTGAAAAATGTCGATTCCAGGACCAGCCCAGAATCAGAATCTCTTGCGTGAGGTCTAAAAATTTGCATTTTGACAAATTCACAGGTGGATTGGAGGCACCAACTCCATGGTCTGTGTTGCACTATCCAATGCCCCAGGGTCTCTATGCTTTGGGGGCCAGGAGTTTTGATATGGAAGCATTAAACGATCCTACCATTTACCCACAAGCCTTTCTGCTGGTTCTGGGGCAAGGTCCAGTTTCTTGTTTGCAAAACTCTTCAGATCCTGGCCTCAAGTGGACCTGCTGGCTCTTGCTTTCTCCCGGGCCATCATTGGCTGAATTAAATTGTCCTCACAATTTTGCCTGTGTTGGTGATGGTGTCTTCTCAGTGGCCCCTCTTGTTTGAGACAGCCTTCTGTGGCTTTCTACATGTCACCCTGAATGCTCTTTGAAAACCTCCTTTGTCCTCCTCAGCCGTCCACTTCAGAAGTGCTGGTGTTATTTTGAGGCAGGGTTTGGGATGCCATATAAAATAAAGCTACGATTGTATTAAAAACCAGGAGAGGATAAGCAGCTAACACAAACATGAATAAGGCCTAAGCACATGCTGTACCAGGGGAGAGAAAGAGAGAATGCTTTGTTGTGACTCTGCTTTGTTTCTGAGGTTTGAAGTCTGGGTGCTCGTGGAAAGCCCTGATAGACTTGCTAGTGAGGTTTACAGGATTCCAGCTTGGCAAACTTACCAAATTCCGGGGTCCAAGGCCCCGTCTCCTGAAAGGTGCCTTCCTAAGTGCCTAAGATTCCCTGTGGATGGTGTAAGGCCCCATCCCATCCTGTGTTCTTGGGATCTGGTGGCATCACCCCCATATCCCCAGGCATATAACATCCAGTGCATTCTTCCTCACAACTCAGCCCTAGAGATCCAAGCTTCCCTCCATAAATTCCAACAAACACTACAAACTTCTGTTCAGATATAAAAACTTCACGTTTCTTCCTTCCCACCATGTTGCTCTGAAGGCTTTCAGTAGAAGTGTAGCCACATACTCTAGGACACTTAACGTTATTTCAGGGACAATTTCCCACCACAAGGAACACTGAAATACAACAGGAAGTGGTGAGTATGAATAGGCAGTCCTGGGCTAAATTTGAATGGTGGAAACTTTATACCAAAATGTTTTCCATAGAAGTTCACTTTCTTTAGTTTTGATGACTACCCACCGGATCATTGTGGCCAGATGCCATTGACCAACCAGGAAACTGAAAAATAAATGAATAAAGTCTTTCATATGGCCTTTTAGGAACTCTGGTTTTCGGGGGGGGGGTTGTTTATTTTTGGTAGGAGCACAGAAAAATGGTATTCTGATCCAAACTAAGCAAGTAGAAGAGTTTGGAGGGCAGCATGTTCAGTTATGAAAACTCTAGGATTATCGTTTTGTAACAACAGTAGAGAAAAGCTGAGGGAGAGAAAGGGAATTCACATTTAGGAAATGTCACTTCCACACCAGCATTTTGCTAGGAATGTTACATACCGAATATGCTATTCCACAACCACCACCAAGGCAAATATTTTTACCTGCTCCCTCCATCTTTCTAGGATAGGAAACAGGTTCATGAAGGTTAGGTAACTTGCTCATGGTCACCCACTTGTAGTGACTAAGCAGGAATCCAAATGTGGCTCTCTTTTCACTCTTCCCTGGGGACCTGAGGAGAAAGCTGAGCAGAGTCTTCATAAAGTAAGCTCTCTGTTATGTTAAGGTGGCCTACTTGTTAAAATCAATAACACTCTTCAGGAAGAGACACCAATGTTATCCATCTACAGAACACTCATTTCTAGTTATATCCATGCTATTTATGTTGGTGCTCATAATAACAGTTAATAGGGTCTGTAGTAGTTGTAAACAGCCCTTGAATATAAAAGTATTAATTTTACCCACCTCTAGGAGGACCAGACATTGGCATTCTTGTGAGGTAGACAGACGCAGCATTTAAAATTGTTCCCAGTGCCCACTGAATCCTGTTCTCCCCAACCAAGGCACACCCATGTGGGCGAGAGAAAAGATAACCTGAGGGCTAAGGCCCAGCGAATCACACCAGGGGAAATAAGGGAAGGTCTCTGAGGCTCAGGGAGTCTCTGAGCGGTATTTTGGGTCAGGTTCAACTCTCTGCATTCTCCTCCTGCTGAAGTATTACCTGTTTCGCGATAGAGGTGTGGCGGAGAACACGGTGAATTCCAACTGCAAAATTTGTCCGGTGAAACCGAACAAACCTAAAGAGGCTGGAAATCGACAGGAAAAGTACACGCTCACAGTGAGCCACCCTACCCTCTACTTGGCCAGAGGCCAGCCGTTCTTGGCGGGCTGACGCCCTCTACTGACGCGGTCCGAAGGAGAGAGGCTGCGGAGACAGGTAAGGTGGGGAAAGGAGGCGAACTTCCAGCCCGAAGAGCTCACGTAATGCCGTGACTATCTCCACTCTGCTAACAAATAAAAATGAGAATTCAGCTCAGCCACAGGCCTGGGAAGGAAGCACAAACGCATGAAAAATACGGTTTTCTCAAAAGGCAGTTGGGTGAAGGTGTGAGCTTGAATCATACATCATTCGTAGCATTCCCTGTCTTTCTTTCCTGATGCTCACTGAGGTTTAGCCTGACACAAAGTGGTCTTCCCTGCAGAGGCAAGATGGCCTGGGGGATCTCGGCGCGCATGGGAAGAAACCTCCCACTGCCTCCTTGAATTCCCTTCTGGGTTCCCCACCCCACGTCCTCCAGCTCCTCTGCGCCTCAGAGCCTTTTATGCCATTCTTATAATACGCGGCGTAATTCCATTTTGGGTTATCTTCGAGGCCAGAAGATCCCGACTCACGTGCGGGCCTCAACCCCCCCCCACCGCCCCCCGCGTGGCTGCCGCGGACGCCTCAGTAAACGCGGGTGGAATGGAACAGGATGCTCCAACGTCTTTTTCCACCGCTGATTTCCGTTGAACATGTGTCTGGGGACGGCGCGCAGCCCCCACAAGGCAGCCTCTCGGAGGCGAGGTTGGCCACGCGGAGGACAGCGGCCGAGGGCTCAGGGCGCACTTCCTGCGGGGCAGCGGGCGGCGGGCGGCAGGCGGCAGGCAGGGGCGGGGCTTCGGGCGCGCCTCCTCGTCCCCCTCCCCTCCCTCCTCCGGCCTCCTCCCCTCCACTCCCGCCTCCTTTCCCTTCCAGGGCCGGCCGAGGCGCCGCGGGGGCGGGGCCGCGAGCGGGCTGGGCGGTGTGGCGGAGCGGGCTGGGCGCCCCCGGCCAAGGTGCGAGCGAACCGCGGCGGGCTCGGGCGCGGAGCGGGGGCGCGCGGTGCCAAGCAGCCCAGCCCAGCCCAGCCGCAGCCCGGCCCGGCCCCGCGCGACCAGAGACGAGCCGGCGGGCGGCGGCGGCGGTGGCGGCGGCTCGCAGCCCGGCTGGTGCAGGGCCTCCGACCGACCGCGGCCGAGCCGGGCCTGGGCGCGGGCGCTGGGGTAGCCAGCCGCGGCGGGCGCAGGAGGAAGCTGCGGCGGCGCGTCCCGAGCCGTGCGCGCCATGTCGGGCGGGCCCCCCAAGGGCCTGCCGTCCACCGGGCCCCACTCCCTGCTCGACATGCCGCACCCGCTGGCCGGCTCCAGCAGCGAGGAGGCCGTGGGCGGCGACAGCACGCCCAGCCCGGACCTGCTGATGGCCCGCAGCTTCGGCGACAAGGTGGGGCGCACGGGGCTTGGGGACCGGGAGGCGCATTTCGGGGATGGTGGACCCGGAGCTCCCAACGGGCGCCGGGCCGCGCCCACCCTGGCGCCCCTGCCCGGGGGCGGGCGTGCCCTGGGGCCCCAGAGCCTTCCGAAAAAGCGTCCGTCCCTGCCGCCCCCGCGGGGTCGTAGCCGCGGGGAGAGCGGCCGGAGGGGGGCGGGCGCCAGTGACAGCTGGTGGGGAGGGGTCCTGCCCGCGTGTCGGGGCCGGTGGCGGGTGTGCGGTGCTCGGCGCGTGTGTCCTGGGATGGGGTCCCAAGTTCCTCCAGGTGTATCCCCGAAGGCTGAGCTGCCGGGTAACTTGTAGCTCCCCCACTTTCCTGGGACAGCAAAGGAGCAAGAGTTAATGGTTTTCCGTGGTAGCACTGGCAGCCTTGGTCTTAACTGCCAGAGTCATTTTCCCCACGCTCTGTCATGTGGGGACTGATCTTTGTTTAGGTTTGCTGTGTGCCTGCAGGGTCACCTGACTCAGACCCCGGGCGGCAAGGGGAGAGTCTCGCTGTGGTTTTCTCTCCGGGGTATAGGTTCACCTCTGGCGGCCCTCCACACTGGCTAGCTTCGGCAGAGGCCCGTTTTGTGGTTGATGGAAAGGAAGCTCGCCCTTTGACCTTCTTTGTGCAGAAGGAGGCTCCTGATTTTCTTAGAGCAGCATAATCCTGGTGTTGCTTTGAGAGAGCAGAGTCCAGCGAAGGGTAAGGGGCGGCATCCCCCTACCCCTCCATTTCAGCTGGGACCAGAGCTTGAGCTGTGATTCTGTCAGGGCTGCCGTGGCCACCTACTCACTAATTGCAGAAATTAGAATTGCTCTTAACACTTGTGATCAGGATTCCCTCCTCCCGGTAAAATACTCAATGAATTCCTCCCAGTCCCAATATTAAATGGGATCAGAGAACCTAATTCTTTCCCCCATAGATGGGAGGGCATGTGATACAATAAAAATGAGTATTAGTGCACCGAGCACTCAAAATAGCTATGGAGGGGAACTTGATGTACCTTTTTTTTTTTTAAAAGATTTTTATTTATTTATTTGAGAGAGAGAATGAGAGAGAGAGCGCACATGAGAGAGGGGGGAGGGTCAGAGGAAGAAGCAGACTCCCTGCCGAGCAGGGAGCCCGATGCGGGACTCGATCCAGGGACTCCAGGATCATGACCTGAGCCGAAGGCAGTCGCTTAACCAACTGAGCCACCCAGGCGCCCTTGATGTACCTTTTTAAAAGAGTTTATGAAAGCCAGGAGTGGGGAGTAGAGCATGAGCAAAAAGGCTTAAAAAGCTAATGAAACCAATGGATTGAGCAGTTTGAGGTGTGTGTGGGTTGGGGGGGGCTGTTTGTGATTATTTCTCTTCATTTTATAGATAATAAACGATATGAAGGGTTATGTTGCTTGGAAATACCTTGTGCATATTTGACATTCAATAAGCAATTGTTGAGTGACTGAATGAATAATTTGTTGCTTTCTTCTAGACCGAGGTATTGTTCCTACATGCATGTAGGACAGGGACCCAAGTTAAACCTTCTGATTTCCTTCTCAGGATAGTGAATTAATTATCTATTGCTGTGCAACAAATTACTCCAAAACTTAGCATCTGAAAACAGTGTGTGGGAGTCAACAGTGTCACCTAGGAGCAGCTTAGCTGGGTGGTTCTGACCTCAGGTCTCCTTTGAGGTAGCAGTCAAGGTGTTGACCAGGGCTTTGGTCATCTGAAGGCTGGGTTGGGGGAGGATTCGCTCACTCACTCGGCTGTTGGCAGGCCTTAGTTCCTCGTCATAGGGCTGCTTGACACGGCAGCTTTTCTTCCCCCAGAACAAGTGGTCTAAGAGAGCAAGAGATCCCAGGACTCAAGCTACACTCTTGTATAACCTAATCTTGGAAGTGACATCATTCTGCCATATTCTATTTGTCACACAGACCAATGCTAGTACAAAGTGGGAAGAGGGTATAAATACCAGGAGGTATAAATATTGGAGCTGTCTTGAATGCTGGCTGCCACTGATGGCTATTTTATTTATTTTTTTATAAATTTTGTATTTATTATTACTATTATTATTATTACTGTTATTATTGTTTTTAGTAATCGCTACACCCAGTGTGGGAGCCAGCCAGGTGCCCCCACCGGTTTAAACATTTGCTTAATTTGGGGCGCCTGGGTGGCTCAGTCGTTAGGCGTCTGCCTTCTGCTCAGGTCATGATCCCGGGGTCCGGGGATCCAGCCCCGCATCGAGGCCCGCTTCTCCCTCTCCCACTCCCCCTGCTTGTGTTCCCTCTCTCGCTGTGTCTCTCTCTGTCAAATAAATAAATAAAATCTTAAAAAAAACCCAAAAAACATTTGCTTAATGATCCACTCTTGGAGGATACCTGTCTCAGAAATATGGGCATTTTACTAGTAAGTACGGGGAGGACAAACGCCCTGTAGCACTGAGATCTTGTTGGTGGGTGGGAAGTCCGGCCCAAGTCTAAATACTGCTGGCTTCCTTTACGGGGACAGTTCTGTGAGAAAGACCATCTTGAAGCCGTTATTATTAATTATTGAATATTTAATAAGCCTCCTTACAGCTGTAAGAAGCATCAAAATGACATCACTCCCAAGGGCCTGATTTATAGTAAGCCACTTTTCCTTAGAGGTTAAATAATGTACTTTCTTTCTCTGACTGGAAGTAACATTTTCCTTGAATCTTGGCATGCCCGTGTGGTGTAGCGACTGTGGAGAAATTTCTGTAGAGGGAGACTAGCATTCAACCGAGGCGAGTCAGGACCAGTGGAGGGAAGCCTCTTTCTCTTGCCCATGCGGCGCGGGGGTCGCTGGAGGACAGGTGGGAAAGCTGAGTGCTATGATCCGTCTTTGAAAAGAAACCTGTTTCCTCGCCTTTTTGGACAATGGAGTTGTGACCCTGGATGCCTGGTTCAGAGTCAGTTCTGAGCTTGGAGATTGCGGGTTGCACAGGCTGCTCATGGCACAGGGTTGTCGTATTCCGCAGAGGGGAACTGCTTTCTGCGGGCCCAGGATGTTGCCAAGAACGGGGAAGCCTCGTGTCTCGGTCCAGCACACACTTCTGAGTGGCGTCTGGCATGCTTGCTGGAGAAGGAAACAACCAAATATGATGACTTTTTCATCCACCAACTTCTAAAATCATTCAGACCTTGGAGTTATGGGATAATCCTTCCTGTCTTCCAAGGGTTGCTAGGACTAATTCTTTTCATGCCCGATGAACTGACCAGGCCTTCTGTCACTTCGTCATCTCCACCTAGAAGGTAAATAAACCACTTGGCCTGACTCTTTTTTTACTTTCATCTGCAAACCACTCTGGGCTGCTTCTCCCCTGACTCGGTCTCCAACTTCTGTGCGCCTCCCAACACTCAGACACCAAGCCCCCTCAGGCCCCAACTGTGGTTAGCACCCCTTCCCACATCCGCAGCCTCTTCACTGAACTCTTCCGCCTACTTCCTGCCCTCTTTGGTGGCTGCTTCTTCCAAAGGTGTCTTTTCCTTGTTTATTCCACTTATATCAGGATCAGGAGATGGGGGGGGTCCTTTCTCCCCACTGCCCTTTATAAACCAAGCTCTTCTCTCTGGACGCCCAGGTCATTGTATGGGTTCAGTCACATATTTGAGGGCCTATCACGAGACAGGCACTCTTCCGGGAACTTGAGATGAGTCAGCCGGTTGAAGACCCCTGCCCTCATTGGGTACTTCTCACTGAGTACGTCGTATGTTCTGTAATAAATGCTATGGAAGGGAGAAGTAGTAGGTTGGGGAGGGGGCTCAGGATCGCTGGCTGTGGGAGGAGGATTTGGATAGACCTTCCCGAGAACTGGAGATTTGAGTAGAAACGTGGAGCAGGTGAGGGAGGGAGTTAGCGAGTGGAGGTCTGGAGGAGGGTCCAGGTGGAAGGAACAGCCAAAGCGGAGGCTTGCAGGCATCTGCCTGGCGTGTTATGGAATAGCCCGGAGGCCTTTATGACTGGGGCAGAGTGGACAATGGAGAGTTGGTGGCCGACAGCAGAGAGGAGAGGGTCCAGATGGTGTAGGGCCTCATAGGCCACCCTGAGAATGTTGGCCTTTGCTTTGAGTGCCGCTGCACGGTCTTGAACAGAAGGAGGGCGTGATTTGACTTCTGTGTTGGAAAGGGTCACACAGGCTGTTGAATTGAGAACCCTTGATTTGCCTATTGTGCTGAAATTCGTTTCCTTTTAGTTAAAAGGACATAAACTAAATGCAAACTGGCGAAGAAAAAAAAAATCTACTGGCTTAATGTTTTTGAAAAGCCCCAGGTAATTCGGCTTCAGGAGTGGCTGGAACTAGGTATTCAAATGATATCGGAAATCTGTCACCCTCCATCTCTTGGCTCTGCTTTCTTTGGTGTTAGTTTTATCCTCAAGCTAGCGAAGGGATATGTTCTACAAATAAACCTCACAATTTCAGCAGAAAGAGTCTCTTTCCTGATAGCTCCAGCCAAAGCCCTGGGCTGGTGTCTCATGAGCCTAAATTGGGTCAGGCACCGAAACCAAGCTTTGTTAACTCTGATTGCCCAGACCTGTACCAGGTCCTTATCTTTGGAGAGTGGAGAAAGGAAATTTTTTGTAGGTCTGTGTTTGAATTGTGAAATGTACATATAAAGTATATAAAATGTTTAAAGAATAAAATGTATCTCTGCAGTTTAAAGAACAATAAATACTCATGTTCCTCCTACCCGGCAGTTTAAGAGAATATTGTTAGTATCTTAGAAGCTCCCTGAGTGGCTGGGGAGGATGGAGGTGGTTTCCAAAGCAGATTCAGGAGGCTGCTCATAGAAGGAGGCAGGAATGAATGGGAGACAAGCGGAAACAAAAGTCCGTTTTGCAGGACGGCCGCGGCCTTTTCGTTCCCTGTCATTTCTACCTCCCCTGCCTCTCATTCTTTAAAATCTCTAGCCCTCGGGGCGCCTGGGTGGCTCAGTCGGTTACACGTCTGCCTTCGGCTC